ACTAGAACGCCTCTCATCCCTAAATCCAAACAATACACTTCATAAAGCCGCCTTACAGTTTCACTTGCAAAAAAAAAAAATGTAAGATAAGGAAAATAAGCTCATTTTTGTATGTAATTTGCTTTGCATAATTATTAATCTTTGTTGTAAATGATATGAAACTCGGCCATAGAATCACATATATAGCCACTGTCAAGACACCTAAGCGTTCCTCTCTTAAGAAGGTCACATTCACACTTGGGTATGCCCCCTGCCCCCCGCCAGTGCTTAATGTTAGAACACTGGCCTGTACCTTTAGGTGCCTGAATCAAGCCATACCTCTCTGCATCCCTCTCTAGGACAGAGTTTAGAAGTAGTCTGTGCTATGACTTGGCAGCTCTCAATTTATGGTACCTGCTCTTCCATGTTCTTTGTCACACATGCTATGCAAAACTAACTCAAATGATATGAAATTTCTTTCCAAACCTGAGAAGTTATAAAAAGTCAGATCTTTCCTTTGTTCTGAGGATTTGGTCCAGAAAAACTTTTCAGAGGAATTTTCTGGGAAAGGTGCTCTGAAGAGGCTCCTCTGGCCTCTACCTACCCTGACCCCCCCAACCATCTCCTGGACTCTCTCTCTCTCTCCCTCCCTCCCTCCCTCCATCCATCCATCCTTCCCTTCCCTCCTTCCTCTCCTCTCATTCTCACTTTAAAAAATATGTATTTGTATTCATGTGCATGTATGTGTCTGTTAGTGTGGGGGTCCCCACAGAAGCCATCTGATCCCCTGGAGCTGGAGTTACAGGTGGTTGTGAGCCTGCTGACATGGGTGCTAGAAACCAAAGAAGAGTCCTCTGAAGAGCAGCAAGCACTCTCTTAACCACTGAACCATTTCTCCAGGTGTTAAGGACGGCTGTCAGCTCCCATGTGGTTGCTGGGAACCAGGGTCCTCTGCAAGAGCAGCCAGTGCTCTTAACCACTGGGCCATCTCTCCAGTCCCTCATTCTCCATCTTAATGAAGTTCCTTTCCAGTCTTTAAAGAGAAGCCTCTCCTTCCCTTTAAGACCCTACCATGTTTAGACCTCCACATATTGTTTCTGTCTAATGCTCTTATTTCCACTCAAGGCTCAATCATAGCCTCCAGACCCCTTCACTCAAATAAACCTCATACCTGAAGGGAATTATGAATTATGTGTCAGCTTCTTTTCCTGATGGACTGTTGCTGTTATTTCCTGTTTTATTTAACACTTAAATCTAAAATGTGTACTAGCATTTATTTCTTCATAATAAACTTAATAGCTTTGCCTCACTCTGACTTGCCCTGAAATTCTTTCCTGAAGTTATCAAGGACCTGGCTTTATCTAGGTAGAAGTCCCTAAGGAGAGGGACTCCCAAAGCTATTGGTGACAAGGCTTGGATGTGTCTCTCCACCACTGCTGACAGTTCTAGCTCCTCAATTTTAAAAGGTGATCCCAAAAGTCCTCTACAAATCTACTAAGGAATGTGTATCTCCTGCTTCCCTCCCTGAGTTCATATTGTTTTCTCTCTACCTAAGATAAGAACCAAAAAGATTAACTGTGAAATAAGGATTAAGAAATTGAATGTATTTCTGACAATCTGGAGGGGATGGGCAAGGAATGAAAGAGAACATGCGGAAGGCAGATAATGTTACCTAAAGATGTCCACATCCTGGGGTTGGAGTGATGGTTCAGCAGTTAAAAGCATTGTCTGCTTTTGCAGAGGACCCAGGTTCAGTTCCCAGCAACCACATGTTGTTTAACAACTGTCCATAACTCTAGTTTCAGGGGATCAGAT